TGTGTGTGTGTGTGTGTGTGTGTGTGTGTGTGTGTGTGTGTGTGTGTGTGTGTGTGTGTGTGTGTGTGTGTGTGTGTGTGTGTGTGTTAAGATGTACAAGTAGACACACACACACACACACACACACACACACACTCCAGCATGGTGTTTTACTTAACTCGGAAAAAGAAAGTCTTGGGGAAAGGAACAGTTGAGACCTTTAGAACTTTCTCCCGTAAAGAAAGAGAAGAGAAGAGAAAGCAGTAAAAGAAGGAGGAATAGAGGGTCATAAAATGGTGTTCCGGTGGCTTTAAATCCCGCCGGCGAGAGTGAGTGAGAGAGAGAGAGAGAGAGATAAATTGATAAAGAGAGAGACAGTACTGCAGAGACAGAGAGAGAGATTAATATAGCTAGCTAGATAGATAAACAGACACTCGTATAGATAGAGACAGACAGACAGACAGACAGACAGACAGACAGACAGACAGAGAGAAGAAAATTAAGCAACGCCTTTCATCACAAACATAACAACAGCAGGAAATCAGATAACAATAACAATAACAACAATAATAAGAAGAACAACTAACAAAAACAATGAAAAATAACAATATATTAATCAAGAGACAGACAGACAGACAGACAGAGCTGCACAGAGATGAAGGACAGAACACACAGACAGACAGACAGACAGACAGACAGACAGACAGACAGACAAAATACAGACACAAAAATCAAGCCCGGAAAAAAATCGTGTCCCAGTCAACAGTATCGTCAAGGCTCCCACAAAGGACTCCTGACAAGATTGATTATAACTCCTGTATCCTAACCTTAGTCTGCAGGATGTGTAGGATCTCTGGAGGACTTTTAATCCTATTTTTGCCATCCTATAAATATCTAGTATCCTTCTGCCTCTTGTCATACACTATTATATCCTGCTATTCCAACCCTTACATCCTATTATACCCTGCCATCCTACTCCGCTAATCCCACCCTAACCTTAATTCCCTACCCTACTCCTACCCCCAGTCCCCACCCTACCCTACACTAACTCCACTCCCCATCTCTACTCCACCCAACCCCACCCCACCCCTACCCCACCCCCTGCACCCCACCCCCACCCCACCCACACCCTAATCTCTACCCTACCCCCACCCCACCCCATCCTACTCCCCACCCCCACCCTACCCTACCCTACCCTACCCTACCCTACCCTACCCTCCCTCTCATCATCATTAAGTAACAACAATATATCTTTCTCAACTTAAGGAAAAGATAAAAAACACAAATTAAAGCTGAATCAACATAAAATATAATCACATAATTGTTTCCTTTTCTTCCGAGGGATGAAAAATAAATAAATAATTGGCAGTTGTGAAAGATTGTTAATTTCCTCTCTCTCTCTCACGTAACAATTAATTTCGAACCGAGAAAAATCGCATTCGTCATTCCCTCCTCCGTCTCTCCCTTACTCCCTTTGCTTTCCGTCCTTCCTTCCTTCCTCCCTCACTCCCTCCACTCTCTCCCCCTTCCCTCCAACTCTGCCAAAATTCTCAAGAAACACGGTCTCATGTCGACCTTCACGTCCCTGTGTATGCAACAGAGAGAAAAGAATAAAACAAGGAATAAGAATATGAGAAGAAGTTTTGAAGAGGAGAGAGAGAGAGAGAGAGAGAGAGAGAGAGAGAGAGAGAGAGAGAGAGAGAGAGAGAGAGAGAGAGAGAGAGAGAGAGAGAGAGAGAGAGAGAGAGAGAGAGAGAGAGAGAGAGAGAGTTTAAAATGAGAAATTAGAAAAGCGTGAAAAAGACTCTCTGGACTTATTGTTAGAGACGTGTGTGTGTGTGTGTGTGTGTGTGTGTGTGTGTGTGTGTGTGTGTGTGTGTGTGTGTGTGTGTGTGTGTGTGTGTGTGTGTGTGTGTGTGAGATAATAAAAAGACAATAACCTGACAACCTCTCTTAAATTTCCATATTTTTAATCTTTATTTTTTATTTTTCTTTCCTTTCTTAGTCTTTCCTGGTTGTTTGTGTGTTCGTATGTCTGTCTGTCTTTGGTCTCTCTCTTTCACACACACACACACACACACACACACACACACACACACACACACACACACACACCATCAGAGGAAATCAAACCTTCAGGTGTGTCCAAAGGCTCAGCTCACACACCTGTCAATACGGGCACCATCGAGCCTAATGGAGCGTGTACAGCCTCGCCAGCACCACAACGCCACACATATACACCACTGTAAGAAATGTTCATGTTCACTGCGGGAAAATAATGTTCATCATTGTACAGCACAATTGTTCATAATTGTTCCCATTCGTTTGTGTGTGTGTGTGTGTGTGTGTGTGTGTACGACCTGCCACTCAAACTATCACTAGGTACGAGTGTGAACGCCCCTGACTGCACGCCAACTTTATGTACGTATGTGTGCTCTTTCCTAAGACTTACACGCCATTATTATGTACGTGTGTGTGTATATACTGTATAGCCTGACACTCACCTCCGTGTCTTCCTCAGGTACGTGGCAGTGACGAGGCCGGTGTCGTACCCGTCGTTGATGACGTCATCGAGGGCCAAGCTGTTGATCGCCTCCGTGTGGATCACCTCCTTCGTCATCTGCTTCCCGCCCCTTGTAGGCTGGAACGACCGCCACAAGAACCTGGTGTCGGCCTCCTCCCCCACGTCTGACGGAGGCACCGGGGAGGGAGGAGGAAGCCTGGACGACGAGGTCTCGTGCCACCTCTCGTGCGAGCTGACCAACGACGTGGGGTACGTGGTGTACTCCGCCCTGGGCTCCTTCTTCATCCCCATGTTAGTGATGCTCTTCTTCTACTGGAAGATCTACTGCGCCGCCGCCGAGACCACCAGAGCCATCAACCAGGGCTTCAGGACCACCAGGAACAAAAAGATCTTCGGCAGCCGTTTCCAGGAGGAGCGGCTGACGCTGAGGATCCACCGAGGACGTAACTCTGTGCAGGAACACAACTCCCACCACCACCACAACTCGGCGGAGCGGCGCCACAACGGCCAGAGTAACAACCACCACCACCACAGGAAGAACAGTCCCAAGGGTAAAGTGAGCAGCATCAAGATGAAGAACTTAAGGCCGCAGCTCATCATGAAGTCCAGCATCTCCCTCCCGCCTGACATGAAGTACGACGGCAACAACTTCGCCCTGTCCGAGAGGTGCGACCTGTGTAACGCCCAGTGCTCCAGGGACCACAGTAACGTCGAGCTCCTCTCCGTCAGCAGGAACGACAACAGCAGTAAGACGGACTCCTGTTACACCGTCGACACCAACTTCTCAGAGATAGATTCTACGTCTCAGAGACTCCAACCTGGCGGTGGCGGCGTAGGCAGTGGCGGTGGCAGCGGTGGCGGTGGTGTTGGCAGTGGTGGCAGTGACGGCCTGACGCCAAGCTCAGAATGCCCGCCACCCACTCCCTCAGGATGGGGCGGCGGAACATCAAGGTACAAGTGAAGAGGTTCAGGATGGAGACCAAAGCCGCCAAGACGCTGGGGATCATCGTCGGGGTGTTCATCCTGTGTTGGTTCCCCTTCTTCACCATGTACCTGGTGAGGGGGTTCTGCCCCACCTGTATACACCCGCTGCTCTTCTCCGTGCTCTTCTGGCTGGGTTACTGTAACTCCGCCATCAACCCCTGCATATACGCGCTCTTCAGTAAAGACTTCAGATTCGCGTTCAAAAATATCCTGTGTAAGTGTGTGTGCACGAGAGAGGTGAGGAAGGCGCTGCCGGCCCACCACCACTCTATATACATCCCGTCATATGACAGAGACAATGACAGTGACGAGGATGACAACAAACAGTAGCTGTCATAGTCAAGTCATATCACTGACCAAAAAATAAAGAAAAACATTTGTATATAACTTTGTATATTGTAATTAAAGGACACTGTTGGCTGTTAATGGTAGCACCTGTGTTGAACCAGCAGGGAGACTGTTAATAGACCCATAACTCTCACAACCTAAAGATGATAATAATGAGTGATGCCAGAGGTGTTGTTGTTGTTGTTGTTGTTCTTGTTGTTGTTTGTTAGTGACCTCACACAACCCTTTTTGTGTCAGGCTCGTCAACAGGTGTCATGTCACGAGGCCTCTTCATTAACCTCTCGAGGACGATGACATTAACCCTCTCGAAGACGACCACACTTCCAATGGGGTCAACTCATCGTCCTCGAGGTCATTAGGGTAAGTCTGACCCAAACAGCTCAGGTCACTGCTGATCCATCCAGGGCTGTGACGACCACCCAGCTCCTTCCACCATCATCCACTGGTTCACACACACACACACACACACACACACACACACACACACACTCACACACACACACACACACACACACGACCTTCAAACACAATACAAACAAGATACGACGACTTTTACTATCTATCTATCTATCTATCTATCTATCTATCTATCTATCTATCTACACACGCCACTAGAGGATGCTGCAGGGCCCTGGGTGTCGTATTTGGTTGAGGGGGACAAACAGATAGCGATTCAGCCTCAGATTCTCAACACACTCTTAAGATTATTTCCTTCCCGTGACTTAAAGGAAGAGAGAGAGAGAGAGAGAGAGAGAGAGAGAGAGAGAGCGAGAGAGAGAGAGAGCGACGCATCATAGTCTGGGTAGAGTCTCTGGGCATTTACCACGCCATGTAGCTTAATGAAGACAAAATAATGAACCAATTTGCTGTGTTTTCATTTTTTTTATTATCTAATGATAATGGGAAGAGTTTTATCACATCTTAGAGAATTTGAGAATCTGAGGTTTATAAGTCATCACAGCCCTGGATAGACAGACAGATAGACAGATAGGTAGACAGATATTACATGGGCAGACAGACGTATATAATAGACTGGCTGACTGTAGAATGTTCGGCCAAAACTGTCAACATCAGAAATTTGTAACGTTAATGTAGAGAGACCTGTTGTTTTGTGTGTGTGTGTGTGTGTGTCAGAACTACGTTACGTAACCGATCTGTAAACTCAAACTATGGAGGCGACGAAGTTTTTTTTTAATAATGAATCAAGTCTAAAATAATAATAATAATAATAATAATAATAATAATAATAATAACATCCCTTCGACAACACCAAAAAACTAAATAACATACATAAAAAATAATAATAATAATAATAATAATAATAATACTTAATAAAATATAGAATGAAGAAGACATTTTCTTTTGAGTCTGTGTCTGTGTCTGTGTCTGTCTGTGTCTGTGTCTGTCTGTGTGTGTGTGTGTCTTTGGAACCGTGGAAAGGATCTAATTCAAGCTGGAGGTCTGTGTTGTCCCTTGAGACTCGAGGTCCACCTTGAACTAAGTAAGTGTCTTGGGAGAAATGTAAATTAAGTGTTTGTGTTGTGTCCCTTGTGAGACCTGACAACCGACCTGAGTCAATCTTGAGGACAACCTTGAGTCAATCTTGAGGACAACCTTGTACAAGTGTGAGATATATGAGTCAATATATGAATCAGTTTCTCCATAACCTTAATAACGAAGAGAATTGGAGTTTGAGAGAGTAAAGACTAGAGAAACAGGGACAAGAGATGATAAATTAGGATTAGAAGAGAACTGATAAATGTGGAAGGACTTAAAAAGAGATAAATAAGAAAAAAGAGAACAGGATAAGTTAAGGAAGAGAAGAGAAATAATTAATGAAAAAAGAATGAAAAGAATGATAAATGAAGAAAAAAGAGAAAACTAGCAATACAGCCAAAGGAATGAAACAACAACAAACAGAGAAAAGAAAAAAAACTTTATCCAAACAAACAAACAAACCCAAACAGTTGTTGACGAGTGAGACATACAGGTGAGAAAGGTAAACACATTGATTGGGATTGTGTTGAGGTTACCTGGAGACGCTCGGCAGGTACAAATTAGTGAGAAATAAGAAGAGTACAGGTGTAAATTTTAAGCATACAGTACAGGTGTAAATTGAGACATACAGTACAGGTGTAAATTGAGACATACAGTACAGGTGTGGATTTAGGCATACATTACAGGTAGGCCTATTGTAAGACCTTGGTAAATTTGGTCAGATTTTGTCAGAGTTCAAAGACAGATTTTTTAGAAGGGATTAAGACATGTTCTGACGTGTTCTGGTTAGTTTGGACACGTTCTGACATGAAGTGACGTGTTCTGATGGGTGATGACGTGCTGTGTGTGAATTGTTCTGATAGTTGTTATGCGCTGTTCTGATATGTTCTGACGTGTTCTGATAGGATTTGTATACGTTCTGACAAATGATACGTACAAATGTCGGTAGGGATTGATCCGTTAGGGTTATGTCTGATATGATTTTGTCTGGTAGGGTTTTGACCGGCAGGATTTTTGTCCGGTACAGTTTTGTCTGGTGGAATTTTGACCAGTGAAAGGACAAGACCTCGACAGTAATTTAAATCAATGAGTAATGAGGCGACCCTTTATTCCACCCACTCCCACATTCACTCCACCCACTCCTAGTCACTGCACCCACTCTCACATTCACTCCACCCACTCCTAGTCACTCCATCCATTCCCAGTCACTCCATCCATTCCCAGTCACTCCACGCACCCACAGCCACTCCGCCCACTCCCACACCCACTCCACCCACTCAAAAACCATAATTACACTTCAAATTTCATATTTTCATGGGGTACAAGTACAAAAAATTCAATGACATATCAGGGAACAATTCTGAGTGGCTGGGGTGTGGAGGTGTGTTAATTTAAAGAGATATGATTTGCTGTTGATTTAGTAGGCGGGAAAAAATTTCAATATAAAGTGATTTGACTGGCTGCTAGTTATAGAGGGCGGAGCTGGGGAGCCCTGTACTGGTGAGGTAAGACTACAGGAGACAAGACTACAGGAGGTAAGACTACAGGAGACAATACTGTAACCCTCAGGACGTAGATACATACACTACAGTAGGTAGATAGGTAGACGTATTAAAATATTAATTCAGAATATTATAAGACAGAGAGGAACCAATAACATCGACCGTGCCTTATGCTCGTACCATAAGAGAGCGCCACTGCTGGCAGAAAGCGGGCGAACGCTCGTCTGGCGTAACTTTCCCCCACAATCGTGTCGTTCCAAAGTAGAGAGAGACGCCAGACGCTGTTGATTTGCTCGTATTGGCGCTGTTTTTTATGGTAAGAGCCTTAGAGTAGAGACACGCCACGAATGTAAATAGACAACAATGTCAACAAACTGTGTGGGACAGTTGAAGAGGTTCACTATTGAACCGTTCCCTTATATTTACAGTATGTCATATCATTCAATGGTCACCAGAGTAAATATTGCTAGACACTGAGCAGCTGTTAACACATAATGTTAGCGAGCCTCTCCTTAATTTAACCCAAACACAAACAATGTGTTGGTGAGCAAGGATACCCGTCAGCCAGCAGCTAGGGTCTCCTACAACTGATCCTTTGAGTCCGTAGGGTAGGAGACCCTAGAGAAGTGTCCTACAGAAGGATATTATTAACTTAGGGTCAGTTTGGGGATCCTTAAGAGACGGCAGTGTATAAATCTTTTCGTCTTTGAGGAAAGTTATGGAACTCTTGAGAAGTTTCCTACTGAAGCATGTAATTAAGGATGCTGGGTGTCCTCAGAAGGGGGCCAAAAGGACACCAGTGGACAAGACAGCATAAGAGACCTCAAGACACACCAGTACACCTGCCTACTCTGTATCGTAGGAGTGTAGGAGAGCCTGGGGGAGCCTCCTATTACCCATCCTACAACACCAATGACACTGGCAGGCCCCGCATAACCAATAGGAAGCAAGAACTCATAGGAAGACTTTAGTGAGAATCCTACGGCATCTTCAGCTCCTTATAGACCTCCTCTGTGAAGCTCCTTGTGTTACCAAAGACATTAACTAAGACAAGAGACTACTAACTGTGTATCTGGCCACCATTGATTCAGGTTTTCAAGGTTCCGTGTGTGTGTGTGCGTGTATATGTATACGTGTGTATGTGTTCGCGTGTATGAGTGTGTATATGTGTCTGTGTGTCCGTCTAGAATCCATCACAACAAAACAGATGAATGAACTTTTTTTAAAACTCTCTCATTGCTGTCAAAATCAAAACCTTTTTCCTCGACTCGTTTACTAAAGTTTGTGTACACGAGATAATAAAAAAAGTAAATTATTGTAGTTTTGTAGAAAGTTCTGTAATAAAAATGTAATAAAAATAATAATAAAAATCCTCTACATTATTAAGTTAGTAATTCACAAGGCTTATACAGGAAACGCCTCAGTATGTCAGGCCTTGTGTCTTAACATTGGCTGTAACCCTTGTGGTAGCCCTTCCTCCTCCTCCTTCATCTCGCCCTCCTTCTCCAACGCCTCCTGCACCTTCTTCACCACCTCCACCATCACCTCCTCCACCACCCTCACCCCCTACCCACCACCCCCCACCACCTAACCCCCCAGGTTACCAAAATCAGAGTTAAAAATATCAGGAAAAAATATATATCATACATACATATATTTGGGAAAGACTGTCATAAGTGTTGTATATGTGTTTTAACATGTGAGTCCTCCATGTGTTCCTATATGTGCCATAGACAGCACCACCACTACTACCACTACTACTACCACCATCA